GGGGAATTATATATGATTCTCAATCACAAAAACGAATTAAATGTCATATACCAACAAAAACAACAATAAATCAACGATTAGAAGGAAATTTAGAACAAGTAACATGTGACACAAATTTTACTGTTGTTCTCGATTCCAATCATTGTGTATATGTTGTAGGTGATGAATCAAAATATGGTCGACTTGGTCAAGGTGATGATAAAACCATTGTACCAACATTAACATTAATCAAAGGTCGACTTCCTCCAATTGGTTTTATTTCATCTGGACCATCAACAACTATTTTATTAACTACAGATAAAAGAGAATTATGGGGTTTTGGAAAAGGTATAGGTTATCTACCAAAACAAATTCTACAAAGTAAACAAACAACAAGTAACGTTCATTAACATTGAAAGTTGATTCATTGGGTCCTAGACTGATGGATTCGATAACAGAGACATCCTTATATTTTAACATAAAACTGCATTCTGTACAATGATGGCTTTAAGAGGAATTATTATTATTTGTAATATGTTCTATATTACATAATATAGATATATTGAAACAGTTGACATAAAATATTGAAAAATACTAATGTATATGACAAAGTTTCTGCTTTAGTTGATTATAAGGAATAACAGTAGTGATTAATGCCATAAAAATAGTCATTTCTACCACGGACATGGTCGATTGTGACACAGAAATGCTCATTTATACCATAATGATGGTCAACTGTGCCATAGAAATGGTTGATTGTGCCACGAAAATAGCGAATTGAGCTACGGAAATGTTCATTTGTATCACGAAAATGGCCAATTGTGTCAAATAACTGTTCATTTTTGCTATTAGAACGGTCACTTATGTCACATAAATGGGCAATTGTACCACGAGAATGGTCAATTGTGCCAAGTCCTTGTTACTAACAGACAGAAAGACATACAAATAGACGAACAGACAGACACAAGTGAATTACGGTTAGTAGACCCTAGCCTTTCAGTCTAGGAATTAACACATTGTGCTCGTGATGAAAATTCTATAATTATTGTTGTAAATGGTTTCCAAATTCAAGAACGACGTTTTAATCGTGATGGATTTACAACTGAATGGATTTCCGTTTATCAATTATCTGATGATAATGATAAAATTCAACATATTGATATTTGTTCATTTGTAAATGGTTTTATAATAGAACAAGGTCATATTTATTTATGGGGGTCAACTGTACCTTATGGTAAAATTTCTGATCAAGAAAATTTTCGAAATATAACAATTAATAATCCAATACGAAAAGATTTAATTAATAATAATAATAATAATGATCGACCAATAAAAATATCACTTAGTCGTGGACAATTTCATGCTCATATTTTATTACTTACAGAACAAGGATGTATTTATTTAATGGGTTCGAATTATAAAGCTAAATTAGGTATTGATATAGATCATATCTTTACAGGTGAATGGACATTAATTGAATTAACACGCACATCTCCATTTAAAATGATAGCTGCTGGTGGTATTCATTCAAGTGCATTATCAACAGATGGACGAGTTTTTACTTGGGGTTGTGGATCAGATGGTCGTTTAGGACATGCTGAAGTTCAAGATCATCGATATTTATATAAAGAACATGAATCAAGATCAATTGATCTTTTAAATAATCAACAAGTTCTATCAATTTCTACTTCATATTATTCATATGGCAGCTATTGTTGTTCAATAGAGAAAATAATTTATTTAAAAAAAACTAAAACATTTTTTTATCAACGTGTTTGTTTGTTTTCATGACTAATAAGAATGCAATTATGATGATTATTCATTCGGTTCGGATTGATAACCGGTTATAGTCATCATTGTATTTCTATTGAATACAGGTAAAAAGTTGATTATTATCTAAAACGATTTATTTAAGTTATGAGTTAAAGCAAGAAAAAAATGTTTTTAATAGAAATCAATTGATATGTACATTGAGGATGTTTGATTGTTTTTTGAAAGACAAGATTCGAATAATAAATTTAATGAATTGAAAAATTTTAAAATTCTTATTATATTCTTGGTTTGAATAAGAGATTGAGTTAATCATTTGAAACATTTTATGACATGACAATGTTCAAGAGTGAGGTTAACACTAAGACTAGAAGTTTGAGATTGTCAGATCTAGACGACTTAAACAACGCTGATCTCTTAAAAATACCGCTCCCTTCTCTTCATCTTTCGAAGATAGATCTTCGTCAGTACATGAAAAATTTTGCATACACTCGAAATTTTCGAATGCTGTTCTCTATGATATACTATGTTCGATTCAGTTGAATTTTTTCTATAAGTACCAGATGAATGTTTCTTTTTTTTCTAAGAGCTATCAAAAATCAGCAGCACAATATTTTTTCAAACAAAAAGAAAATATCTATTCTAAACAGTATCTTGCAAACAAAGTTAATGTATGATTTTCACTAATATGGTTTCTTTTCAAATTCTCTAACATTTAAATAGAATTCTTGGGTTTTGAAAATGACTCAAAAAAACATGTTAAGTCAAGAAAGAGACAGAACACATTTGATCTTTGAAATTCTGTAAGAATTTCTAATAGTTCGAAAAATTTCTAGAATGATTCATATTCTGA